GGAGCTGCGCGAAGGCGGAGTCAAATTCACGTAAAGGCAGAAAGGTTCTATTGTAAATGGAATTATAAACTGCACAGTACAATGCGTTTCACACGGAAGTGGTGACTAAACCAAATTTCATCTACTGCGCCGTGGTCAAGAGTGCTTGCGCGCACTCTACTAAAATGCATGGTTTCCAAATTAAAAGTCAAGAAAAAGAAAAACATAATTTGTTTTATTGTAACTCCAATCTTTTTTATCAGGATCCCTAAAAAAGCAAAACAACAAATATTCATAACCCAAACTTATTCATATTGGATTATTTGTAATTGCATTTAAATAGATAGTAAATTAATGTCATACAATTTGAATTATATAATATTAGAAAATCTGTAAAGCTACTGAAACTAGTCATTCGAAAAGTACATAACAATTATTATAAATGCATCATGCCCTAATTTCTAAAATTATTTTTAGCAAGACAAAATATAATTGTGGTATATGAAGTAAAAACACAAAGCACAAATAAAAATCTGCAAACAAAAAAACTGCCAAACAAAAAATTAAGCACACATAAAATAAGCGACATGTAAACCAGCAACGATATAAAATTTCTAATGATTTTTACCCATGGCGATAACTCAGGGAAAATGGAATGTTTTAGGACATACAAAGGAAAGAAGGAGACTATTTTTTGGTATTATCCCAGTGATTTTAGCACAGCTATGAGGCGAGCACATGTAAATGTATGAGGTATGTTTACTTCTCGCATTTATCAACAACACCTAAATATTGACTGTCTTAATAAATTTTATATTTTGAAATAATTTAAAGTGGTCAGTTAGTTCATCTGTCATAGATTTAGTTATACCCGTAACCGTTTTTTTTTGGCTAATTTTGCATGTCTAAACGCACAATAAATTTGTGAACTACCTACTAGGTATAATGTGTTACTACATCAAAAAAATGATAGCATGAAACAGAAATCCTGATCATTGAGCTAATGTATAACATACTCTTTTATAGCAAATAAAAATATATGTTAACGTAATAAACAACAGTAAAAATTAACAAAATAATAATAAACATGTTACCTAAAAAGTTATATGAAACTCTGTGAATGATACTATGACAGGTGAAGTAGCTAATAGTCCATTTTAGGGACTATGCTGTTAACATGCATGATGTACGAAAGAGTGTAAACATGACCTCGAATTTTATGAATGTTGTTAGACACAGGGTTATGTGCCAAATGAGTGCTATGGTGAGGATGACCGCGATCTCAAATCCTCAGAATAAGTATTGTAAAAAGAGATAATTTAAATTCCGATACCTTCTCAATTATTTCAAAAAGTCTATGAAATGTTTGCCGGCTAGTTTTTAGGTAGTTTAATGTTTTAGTATTAATTTTAAATTATGTGTCTAAAAATGTGAGTAGTAAATTGACCAATTTTTTTTAAGCCCTTACCTCTATTTGGATTGCCGAATATTGGCCTCTCCTAATTCTCGCCATTCATCTCTGTTGTTTGTAAGACGTTTCCACATTGGCCCTGCAGTTCTTTTAATATCGTCGTTCCAGCGCATTTGCGGTCTTCCTCGTGGACTTTTGTTTTCATATGGCAGTCAATTCCCGATTCCATCGGCCATCCTTAAGACGTTCATTATGTCCAGCCCATTTCCATTTCAGTTTAGCTGCCTGTTAGACATCATCTTTTACTTTTGTTCTATTACGAATGTCTTCATTGATTTTATGGTCTTTGAGTGAGATATCCAGCATCTGTCTTCAATAGCTCTCGGTTTTTCTGATCTTCTCCATGTTTATTTTCGTGAATGTCCAAGTTTGAGCTCCATATGTAAGTACAGGTAGGATACAGGAATTAAACATTTTGGTTCGCAGGCTTTGAGGTATATTTTTATTTTTAAGTCCGTAAGAGTCTTTCGAATACTGCCCATTCCATTTTGACACGTCTGCTTATTTCGGTAGTCTGATTTTCTTTGCTTACCTTGACATTTTGACCCAGATATGTATATTAATCTATTGTTCTATCTTTGTCTCTTCGATGTTTATCAAAGGTTTGTTATCTTTGTTTGACATTAGTTTAGTTTTGCTAAAATTCATTTTCAGTCCTTTTTTTAGGGATTCTGTGTGTAGTTCCTCAATCATCGTATTCAGTGCATTCCACGTCTCGGCTATTAGTACTACATCATCTGCATATCTAAGATGGTTCAAGTATCTTCCGTTAATAGGGATTCCCTTATTTTCCCAGTCTATTGACTTAAGGATATCTTCTAGGGCAGCTGTAAATAATTTTGGAGATATTGTGTCCCTTTGTCTTACTCCTCGGTTGATTTTTACTGGCCTTGTTTCGATTCCATTACCCAACGTCACTATTATTTCAGCTTGTTCGTAAATATTATGTATTAATATTCTGTATCTGGAGTCGATCCGTTTGTTGACTCTTGCTTCTTCCATTGCCCACAGTTCTACGCTATCTATTACGATTTTCACAGTATATACCTAGATGGTCACAGGTGCTGTACCCTTTTCTAAATCAGGCTTTTTCTACTGGTTGATATCCGTCAAATTTAGTTGTTAACCTGTTTGTAATAATCTTTGTAAAGGTTTTGTAAAGTTGTGAAAGAAGTGAAATTGGTCGATAATGTTTCAGGTCTGTGGTGTCTCCCTTTTTATGTATTAGTATTGTTTTAGCAGTATTTCATTGTTCGGGTATATTACCTTGGAGGAGACATTTATTTAACAGTATTTTTAGATATGTGATGGCTTCTTCCCGACTTGCTTAAGCTTTTCTGCTAGGGTTCCATCGCTTCCAGGAGCTTTATTCTTTTTTATTTCTTTTACTCGTGGTTTACTCTTTCTATTTCTTCGTGGTGTATTTCGGGCATCACTTCTCAAGTTGATATTTGCTATCTGCCTTTTCAAGTTCTGCTTTGAGGAGTTAATGGGATCGTTTCTGAAACGGTACAGATCGGCGTAGAACTTTTCAATTGAGTTTGCAATATAAGATTTACCGTTTTCTAGTTGTCCTTGATCATTTTTAATTATGTGTTATGTTTTTCTTTCCTAGTTTCGGTTTTTCTCTAAGATTTGTTCTATACGGTCTTTTTGATGTTTTTTAATGTCTTCTGTAGTGTCTCTTTTGTTTTGTCTCAGATCTCTTCTTTGTTTCAGCATGTTTTGTGATTCTACACTTATTTTGGATTTTCGTTTTCTGTTAGCGGTTGCCACTTCTGAGCTTGCATTTAATAGTTCTTTTGTTATGACTTCATTAATTTCATTTAAAGTAAGTTTATCTAGATTTAATACTTCCGCGATTTTTAACTTGCTTTTATATTGTTCTGTATTAGATTTTAGTTTATCTGTGTCTATATTTAAAGTTTTTCTAAATTTATTTCTATTTTTATTATGTTTTATCTCTAATTTGGCTTTAACCATTCGGTGATCGCTACTTACTGACGCCGTATTTGTTACTGTTACTGTTGTATGATATCTGTTTTGTTACACAGTACGTAATCTATTTCGTTCCGAGTTTTTCCGTCTGGAGATAGCCACGTCCACTTTCTTTTTTGACCAATAAAAAACATTAAATTCATACTCCTTAAAAGGCATGGGGAGAGATGTATCCAATATTACTACATCTACATTAATCCAATTGGAGACATTAAACAAATTCACAAAGCAGATATATCGGGGCATATTATAATAATAATTAGCGCGTCGAGCCTAGTCGGCCCATGCTTTAAATGATTATTCTCCTCCATCCCTTTTTGTCATTATTATCATCTTCCAATTTGTGACATTGAGTCTTTTTAGATCATCTTCAACATCAATTTTTCGCCTTGTTCTGGCCCAAACACTTCTCTGACGTCCACCTATGTATGTCACTAAATTATCTACATCAGTTCATGTTTGCTTCTTGCTACTATCGCTATATCATAAGCCAGGCATTGATGCTTTTTATGATATATAATTCCCTTTTCTATTTATATTGGCTTCCCATAGCACGCAAGAGCATAAATCAGTGGGTCAACTTGACTTACCGGTACATTACTAGAAAATTGTCTGATATTTCATTATATACTTTTACTGGGTTTTCTGTTCTTCGTACTGTTAGTTGTACCATCCTAATATTTTTTCTGTTTATATTTAGTCATTCAAGTGATTTAAACAGTTCATTTAGTTTTAATTCATCAAATGCTTGTTTTAAGTCTATAAATAATGTCATGGTCGATTTTTGGTATTGATAGTTTTCCTCTCTCAGGAGATAGTATCTTTTTCAGCAATAAAATCTTCTTCGATTATATCTTCCATTCTTTTGAGGCATATTATAATCTGGTGATTTTTCTTCGATATGTTCGAAAACAGCATCTGCTACCTATCTACCTATTGTAAAAGCTTACTGTGTTTCTCTATTACTTATTTGTGTGTCCAGTTTCTCTATCAAATTATTAGATAGTACCTAATAGATAGATCAGTATTGATTTCATAATGACAAAAGAATAATACTGAAAGAAGCTGTATTATTAAACACGTCTTTAATAATCTAATTACATCTTAACCAAGCATAAAATAATTCTTGTAAATTTAGTTCCTATAGTTGATTCCCATAATATCATTCTCATCAGTAATGTACTAGTTCTATCTCTGTCACATTTACATAAACGTCAATTCCCTTTACAGCTGTCTGCACAAATACTTTTGAAAATTTAGTTCATTTGACAAAAAATTTATATTGTTGACTGAGTAGTAAATACCCAGTGATTTAGTGCTACGCTTAAATAAAATGAAACTACCAGCTTTTGTGTTCTGTTTACCACCTAAACTTTGATCACTTCCTTAGTTTTATAGTTCTTTAGAAAAAAACTGAGAAGGCGATGTCAGATATATTGCGAAAAAAGCAGCAGGGAGAGAAAATGAGGTAATTCTGAAGATTTTTCCTTCGTGGGGTGTTCTGATAGATAACAGAGGTGCCCCTAGCTTGCCAACGGAGACAATGACTTACCAGGCTGAAGGTGTGGGGGAGGAGCACGGCCCCTATCTGCGCCATTGTAGGCTAATGGTATACCCGTCTGATCGTAACAGTACTGGGAGTCTTGGTGGTAACTCATCATTGGGGGGACAGGGTGCGGATGGGGAGGAACGGGAGAATAAAGGTGGGGATGGTGGTCCCTGCCTGTGTACGGCCCACCTGTAACACACGCCACCCTCTCAATTCATGGTGTTCTCTATTTTATCTCCTCTCTTATATACCCTATTCTACCGGGCGGTTATTCAAAATTATCTTACATGTTATAATTTATCTTTTTTAGGCTCCTTGAACAGTTTAAATATTTTATAAATATTGCAAAATGTTCATTGTTGATAAAGGTTTTATCTAATGTTAGATTAAACTTAAAATCATATACATAAACTAAATAACTTGAATAACATGTAAGGAAATAAAATATATGTAACCGCCTCGACCAGTAATTATGGAAGCTTAATTATTTCACTCTAAGTTTGTATCTAATATGACTAAATTTTATTATATTCCCCAATCAAATCACTTCTACTATAAAAAGTGCTATAAAAATTGACATAAGTGACTACTTTTTATTTTCAATTGAGGAAAATAACTGCATAAAATTTCTACCATGCATAATCATAGTAACAATTTAATGTCCTAAAGAATTTGTTTCCTACGAATGCATGGGTAGCAAGTTCAAACCATGCTAATAAACAACTGGTAAAGAGAGAAGAATCTAAATGGTACATTTTTCTAATACAGTTCTTGTAAAGATTCAAAATATGTATATTACAATACTATAAAATTATAATGATCTAATCGTTAACGTGACAGTAAAAACTTAAGGGCAATCGCCATTCTAAATGCTCGTCACATACTTCAGTACTCCAGAATATCTGTCACAACATTCATTCATCTACTATTATGGCCAAGTTTCCTTAAGTATTATGTGGAAGAAATCGTATAACCAGTGCGAAATACTTGGAAGCGCAATCCATTAAACATGAATATGTTATGGAAAAACAAGTAAAAAGGATGATAGATATACAGTGGTGAGTGCGATATCAGCCGGCTTTTTAACGTAAGAGATAGAAAACACAGTTACCTTGTGAAATAAAAGGAGATGAAACTCGTAGAGGTGGGAAATAATCGATAGAAACCTATAATTTACATTACATTACATTACGACTATCGATAGTCTCACACCTTTAGACGTTACCTTCGACGTTAGACGTTATCTAAATCACCTCGGTCATAATTATTATGTTTGACAGTTTGACGTCGTATGTGTGACGTATTTCCATTTTTTAATTTAGATAAAGTAAAAACTGATTGCCCACAATAAAGCAAAAATGTGAATAAAATAATTTAATTAATAGTGATTATTTATTCTAAAGTTTTAAATTATTAACCAAGAATAATTTCTACTATGATTTTAGGAGTTTCATACACTCTTGTCACAGAAAATTAGCAATCCCTCGTGGATTAGTGGTAAGAATTCGACTCTGCGACGCAGATGATTAGAGTTCAAAACATACATGAGGTTTTCTTTTTTCTTTTTTTACAACCATTTTTACGAATTGTTTTTTCAATAAAAAGTTTCTGTTTACCGTGCAAAAACACTTCTCGATATGTTATTATTTGATGGCTTAAAGGCTTTGCTTCGCGCGCATCCATTCCAATGTTGTCAATTGTTTTGAAAATCATTATCTGTACAGAGGAATTGATATTAACATTGAGAATTTAGTGATGGATTTGATATAAACAGTCTTCACCGGATTATTTTGCATTCACAACTGAAGACTGTATGAATTGAATTTGAATCATTTTGTATTTCCGTTTTATAACATTGGAATAAAAATAAATTGTAAATAATGAGTTTTTCGAAAATTTGTTACCTAATATGTATCATATTTTCTATTATTTTTTTTTTGATAAAACAAAAATTTTATCCTTGGTGTGGAATTGAACCCCAATTTTCTCGTCAATAGACAACGTCCCTAACGACTACACCAATTTCACATACATTAAGTGTTTCCAGACAAAACATACCCACCTTTATTTTTAGTCAAATATTTCAGTTGAGTTATTTTTACTATTAAGTAAATTTAAAGATTTATAATTTAAAATCGCTACTAATGAATGTTTTTTACTATAACATATCTTAATTTATTCAAGTATTTATTCTAACATCAGAAATTATTAAAATAAAATATTTTTGAGGGTATCCGTATAATTATGACTGAAGTCAAATAGCCACGTCCAACGTCTAAAGGTGTGAGACTGTCGATGGTGGTAATGCAAGTAATGTAAATTATAGGTTTCTATCGATTATTTCCCACCTCTACGAGTTTCATCTCCTTTTATTTCACAAGGTAACTGTGTTTTCTATCTCTTACGTTAAAATGCCGGGTGATATCGCACTCACCACTGTATAGTCAGTCATCATTTTCCGAAGAAATTCTCTAATTCTCAAACATATATACTTCACTGTTACTTAGATTACTACCTTTTAAGATATCTTCTTAAGAAAGCAAAACAGATGGTAAGAAATGCTTGTTCTGCTAAAGCAACTGATGGTTACAATACATATTGGACGAATCTAGGAAGTTCTAACTCGGTGTATTTACATGATATTCTTCTAATAATTACCCTTAAATAGCCCAAAAATGTTCTTGTAGAAAATATACGATATAGAAGGTATGACTGTTGCATTATTTTTTCTATTTAGTTTATACCCTGTATATTACATTTTGTTGTGATCTCGTCACTCCTTATTCAGTGTAATTCTTCTTACTATTCACATTTCTCCTGTTTCCAGCATTCTCTGGAGGAAACAAAGAAGGAAACTCTAGAATTATTTTTTGATATATTTTTTATTACAAAAACTTCCATAGGTATTGGAAGAAGCGTTTTTTGGGTATATTTTTCGTACAACCTACGTTATTATAATGACACAGAACTGTGCATACTGCTTGAGAAAATTCTTCTCGTTCTTATATTAGGCCGTAGACCTGTCTTGGTCCGATCTTAAGGCTGTAGTCGTATTTCTGACATTTACTGCCAGCTATCTCGCCATGTTATAAAGGACTTTGCTGGTGATCTGGTGCTTGGGAATAATTGATGTGTATTATTATTTCTTAGTAGTAGATTTTGTTTTCACCTATCTATACCAACAGTAGAAATAAAAGAGGAAATTTTACGAATTACCCGTTTTGATAGCGCCTTAAGACGATTAGTCATTCTAGAGATAGAGATAGTGAATGTGAAGCAAATAAACTTAAAGTATATTTTTAAAATTACTGTATGTAATAGATAATCATTGATCTCCAAATTTGGTAGTACTCAAATGAACTAAAAATTAAGATAATTACTAATAATTCTGCGGGGTAATTCATAAAACTTATTCATAAAAGTTCATAGATGTCACGAAAAATTGATCGTATGTAATGTTTCGATAAGTGATGAACTTTAGTCTTGCGATTGCCCTTAATAATCAAAAAGCAAATATACGTATTTATTCATATAAACTGATTATTTACTATCTTTAATGGGAATTAATCACAATTTCAGTTTAAAACACGCTTATTTTGTTGCGATTTCAACCTCGGAAATCATTTTCGTTTGCGAAGTTGTATTTTAAATTGAAATTGTAGTAATTTCCATTAAAAATAATAAACAATATTAAAATTCTACACAAGAAAATAGCTGCAGAACAACGCAATGACTGACATGGAAAAATATCGAAGATGGTATATTAAGAACAAATCATATTCTCTTGCCGCCCTTTAATGTTTATAAAAGAAACTGTACTGGCGGAGGTCTGTGTCAAATAGTCAATTATTTTTGTAATACAACATAAAAATAAAATACAACACTGTTTTAATCTCCACAGCATATAACCAACAGGACATGTTTCATTAAAACATTAGCTTATTTAAAAGTAAACTAAAAATTTTTCATCCATCCGCTCATTTTTCTGAAAAAGATGATGTTTCAGCAAAATATGTTGACATCATTATGTGGAAATTAAAAAAAGTGGTGTGTTTTATATTATATCATTGAATTTCAAGATAATAAATAAAGGAATCATTAGACACAATTCTCGGTTAAACTTTGATGGAATTCGGCATTGGGGAGTGCCGCAAAACACAGACACATCAAAGAGGTGTAAATTTCTGAATAAATCTACCTCAAAATTAAGTTGCAAAAACGAATGAAACATAGATACCAGTTCTAAGTCAAACACGAATATCATCAAGACGGCTGGGTCTAAACCAGCTGAAGGATGGTGAACTGAGATAGTAGTGTTCTAGCACTAAACACTTAGAAAATATGTGAAAAATTCCAATTAAATAGAAACTCACGCTAATGAAACATGCGTCCAGTCAAGCTTGGACAAAAAAGATCGGGTCCAAGAGTTAATCGTAATGTCCGATAACCAAGCAAAGAGATTAAGAGCACAACTGCAAATAAATAATGCTTTAATTGAGCATGTGAAACGTTCAAGTACTCGAGAATGAATGGAATGATTGAATGACCAATGGGACCCTCAACAAGAAATATAATACCGTACTGAACAAGCAAGACAAGCTTTGGTTATATTAAAACCACTGCTATGTAACCAAAATATTTTTTAAGCTCCATAACTGGATAGTTAAATACTGTGTCTGCCTGGTCCATTTTGTTATACGGCATGGAGACATAGACGTTGAGAAGATCCTCCATTAATATGTTAAATGCTGCCGAAATGTGGAGTTTGCGCAGAATGTTCCACATACCAAGGACGAATAGGATGAGGAACAAGGAGGTCGTAGCAAGGGCAAATGCTGAAAGAGAATTACTTAATCAAGGTACGAACAATTGGATACCTTTGTCATTTCCTGAGAGGGAAAATATATGTATTCCCTCAACTAATTACATAAGGAAAGATTGATGGCAAGAGATGAGTAAGTTGCAAACAAATGTATTGGCTATGGAATATGAAGAAATGGACAGACATAAATAACAATACCACTGGCGAGCTCCGTCACGCCACGAAGAATACACGTCTGGTCTTAAGATAATTCGTCAACGTACTATAGGTGCACTTCACGCCACTATGAAAGGAAAGTATAGTGACTTGTCGTCTAAAAGTAGGAAAAGTAACAATGTTACTGACTGATTATATATATATATATATATATATATATATATATATATATATATATATATATATATATATATATATATATATATATATATATATATATATATCCGGTTTTTTAGGCGTTACGCCCGTCCAGTAGGGATCTATGGAGGAGTATCACCGAGCCGCAAGCCCTTATCTCTTGCCGTACTGCTCCACCATAGGCCGATCAGATCCGTGCATATTCTAGTCTAAGCCGCAGATTAATCTAGAATTTTAAACTGATGCGTTAGACTTTTTGGCTTCTGTAGACCGAGCTGGGGCTCGATCCCACATCCACTGAGCCATTCGACAGTGAAGCGAATGAGAGGCAGCCGCACAGCCCGCTGAGCTATCTGACCGACTACTGACTGATTATATGTTTATTATTATTAAAGATAGCAAAATTTGACCTCACAATCGATCATAATAGGTGACTGAAATGGATAAGTAAAGATTATGGCAATCATACTACACTTGCTCAACTACCTAAAACTGATAACTATGTTGAAAATGTTTCGATTTTGTAATCATTAAGCAGCTCTACAAAAGAATTTGATTTGTTTTGTCCTGCCGTGTTCTAAATCACTTAATGTCAGTAATTCTTGCTTTTATTGAAATTTTGTAGTACAGTGTATACACAAAGAGTATAGTAAAAATAAATAAAACTAATTAAATCAAGAACTGTTAGAGTGATTAAAGAGTTCACGAAATGATCACCATAGTTTATGTACCAAATTACAATGTAGAACATTGTACTAAAACATTCTTGTCTATTAGACATATGAATTATCATCTATATTACAATAACTCTTTCAAACACCATCAATTCTAAAAAATAAAATAAAAAAGTAGTGAAAACTCGCACAAGTTCAAACTTCAAGTTTTAACAATGTGAATATTAAAAAGAAAAATCATTGGTGCTTACCACAGACCTTATAGACCCAATAGGTTGCTAATAGATAATATTTGGATTCTTTAGTTTTTATATATTATTGTATTGAAAAGTAATTTTTAAGTCAAACTTGCTCTAATTAATTAATACCGTTTATGAAATATTAAGAAACTGTAACTGTTTTCTAATGTGTTTACTGAATACAATTATACTGAAGAATGCTGGCTGCGTATAAGATATGTACCGGCAGACTGTATCCAACTTGTTTATAAAACGCAAATATTCTAAGGAGACCGTCTATGAAACTATTTGTGTATTACAGATATAGTAGTAACTCTATTACGTCTTATTTCTAAAATTACCTTCTAACGTAATGTCTGACTTAAATAGGTCGTAAGGTAATAAATGTAAAGAAGTTTTGCGCCGATTGCGCCATTATTTATCTTATTCATATCCATTATATAAATATTCATTCCCAACATATAACTGATCTGAAAAGTTACTTTACGGTTTTGGTAAACATGTAAGGCATTTGCGTTTGTTTAGATTCGAATAGAATTAACCTTAAAAATGACTGTGACCTTATATATATGTAAAATTGAGTTCTGTGGCGTTGGAGATGACGAACAATTATTGTCCTTATAGTTGCAGACAATATGTTTGGGAGATTCTTCTGCATTTTGGCAGAATATCGCTGTTAATTTGCCCATGTTATAAAGATTATATGTAAGTGAATAATGACAGAATTCAATTTTCTGAAACTCTAAAATAATTTTTCGTAGAGAACTGAAGTTTGTACTAATATTTTTGTTTGATTTTGGCATGGAATATTTTCCCACCAAGCTACACCATTTTCGGATATCTTTGGCAATGCGGCTTTTTTTTACATCGTAGAATATGTACCCCTTTCTTTACGTCATGGCACCCATAAGTTACTTTGACTGCGCCAATTGCTTTAGGGTCTGTTTGCAGAGTTCTCAGTGCAGTTTTACAGTTTGAGACAATCAATATCTTGGCTAAATTGAGATATATTCCATATGGCTCCTCTACACATCGGCAGACGCGTCCACGGACGACATCTACGTATGCATCTGGAGATGTGTAGATGGGGTAATTTGATCGTCTGTTGTTTGATGCATCTGCAAGATATCTGATTGTTGTCGGTTTTCTTAGCACATATCAAAGGATTTCGCTGACCTCTGACTTCTTCTTTTCCATTTTTTTAATGATTCTATTCCAATGTACACTCTAGTTGAACGATCTGAATATACACATAGCTGCGGCAGCTGTGGTCTCAAAATCAACATCCATTTTTTTAATGCTCGCGTAGATATTGCGTTTCCCGAGAATTAACACAGACTGAACGTTTTACAGATATGTCCAGATGTGTGGTCAGCTTGTGATGATACATTGGCAGATGGGTCCGCAGACTCGTCTGCCGGTGTGTAATGGAGGCAATACACGTAATCCTGATTCTTACTCCTTCCCGTTTTTTTTTTGACAGAATAGTTTAAAAAGTGTTGGATACTTCTTGTGACTTAAACCATATCATTTTGTGTTAACTAACATTCGTTTATGAATATATTTCATTACACTAAATATATTTTACAGACACAAATAGATACTGAGCCTGTGTTGTAAAATACAAGCACTTCCTAGAACGACTCTTAAAGGTATATTTAGGAGGAGTAAGCTCTACACCAACAAGTATTTGCCCTTTTTGCTACATCGTAACCTTTATTATTAATCATTGTAAACCTAAACCAATCAAACTTACATTTGCTATCTCCAATGCCGTTCATTCTAAACTCTTCGCATTAGTTAACTGTTTATGAATTAAAAAAAAATTACAAATATTTTTCGGAAACAATACACAATCTCACAAAAATAAAAAGGTCAGAGATTTTGAAACTGTTGTGGCATATTAAGTTTTGTATTGTCTTTATATGGGATTACACCACATTTTATTGTAACAAAAACTACATTTTACATTTGTTTTTGCCGTTTCCCGAAATAGTTTTGAAAAAATTATTATAAAATAAGAAATTATTTTAACCTGTAGATGTTTACGAATTGACGATTGTAGCAACCGATTTAACAATCGACTTAATTGGCCTCTATACTTTAGGCAAATAGCCACGTTTTTAAGTTGAAATTCTTAGGATAAAAGCATATAAAAATCAGAATTTTATATCAATCCGAGGATTCAATATTACTCTCGGATTTTCAACTCAAAAACATGAATATTTGTCTACAACAGCTTATAAGCACACACACATCAGAATTTGATATCAATCCGCGGGTAGGTACATCACCCTCAGAATTCCAACTCAAAAACGTGGCTATTTGAATATCAGATCAAGGGCAAGTAAGTCAACTATCAAATTGGCTACTAAAAAGAAATCGACAACTACTAAAGAGCTACTAGCGATAAAATAATTTCTTAATTTATAGTAATTCTTTTGAAAATGATCTACGCAATAGAAATCGAAATGCCAAAAACAAATGAAAAATGGAATTTTTATTACAATTGTGATAACGTCTGAGCACGAACAATTAAAACACTGTTTGGATTTTAGAACTAAGCAAATTCTGGTACTAGAAACAGGCACTTAAAGAAAAAGGATTAAATAAAACTAAAAGCGGAATACGGACATGGAGGTGTACAATAGAGTTAAGACAAACACAAACGAACTGGTGAATGGAAGGCGAGTGATGTGTTGTCTTATCGAAATGGAGGTTATATTTTGTGGTTAAAAGAAAAACTTTTTCGAAAAACATATTTATTGCACAATTAAACGATAAAATAGAATTTATGCTTAAAATGATTTATTGTACTTTTTAAAAATCACTGTTAATTGCATTCTAACAACTTGCCAAAACATCACCATGGCTGTTCGTTGAATCATATCTTTGGTTGGAAGGTAGAACATTGTTTATTCATAATGTCCAGGTACAAAACTGTTACAGGTCGTGTTATAAATATCACTGCCAGGGCTATAACTATCAAAGTTGATATTATATCTGTTATACACAGGAGAATAATGATCAGAGTTGAGGTTATAGCTGACATTGCTTCCAGTAGAATAGATGGGATTGTTACCATATTTGTATGCTGTAAAAAATTTCCTTCTATTATATTTGGCGATAATAAAATCATATATTAGTTTTCTCTATTGGTTTTCAGTTTCTAAATTGGTACTAAGAACCAAACATTAGTAATCAACAAGAGGATAGCTAGTATTTGTATGTCTAATATTTAATTATGTTAAATATAAGTTTCATTATTTCCACCAGTGATGATTATAGTAACACCTTGTATAAAAAATAAACCTTTGACAAAAATATTTTAAAAATTAGGTATAATAAAGATCATTTTTCTTTGGTTAAGTGACAATATTAAAAAAATCATAACCAAAAAATAATCTTTAAACAACTACAAAATTATTTCTTTAGAAAACTTTTAACTTGTCTCTTTGACTTTATTATAGAATTTTGATCCAAAATATTACACTACTAGCAATCTATTAGTTTCTTGGACGTCTATGGTACAAAAGAATTTATCGTGGAACAACTTACCAGGCAATTGTGTAGTAGCTGATGGCACGCTATTTGCCCGTTGGAGTCTCAGGTACTGATTATTGAAGGCCGAATTGGGCGAATTAGGTGGAGGAAACTGATCGTTAGTTGGATATGGTGAATGCCTAGCACTTACTGATCCTGGACTATTGATAGATCTCTGTGTTTGCTGAGGTGGTCTCTAAAAATGGCAATAGAAAATGTACAAGTAATATAATGAAAATGAAAGACACGTGTCATATATTATAATAGATTACAAGAGGGTCATTTGGTTTCATAAATATACCTTTCATCATTGTGACATCAAAAAATCTCTTGTGTACACCCTACATATATTCTTCAGTTCAAAAGATCTAGGCTTTTAAGAAAATCTATTATATGTTTCGAAGATATGTGCCTCACCTGATGAGTAGTTATCTATTATATTGAATGGAAATTAACCACAATTTTAATTGAAAATCAGTTTATTTTGACGTTTCAATTTTCACTTCGGTAATAATTCATAAATTTCCATTTAATATAAAATATCACATAGAAATTCCAAAAGAACTATAGTAATAGTAATCGTTTCAGGCCCATATTACCTGATTAGGTTCTAAAAAGATCTGTTATAGGTATTTATTTCCTTATGTTCGGCCGTTTTCTCTTCGTGTTGTTCTGACCACTTTGCTCATTTTACAAATATGACAACTTGAGTGGGCAGTGTCCAGCGAGAACACTTTTTATGTTTTGCTTTTTAGTTGCGTTGGTAGTGGAATACTTACACAGCATACAACCCTGTCATATGCCACTTTTTATTTTTATTTCTTCTGTTAGTGATATCCTAGCAGAAATAGAGTTTTTGCATATTTTCCCCTTAGAAAGATTTTCGATAGCTTATAAAAAGTTGGAATAGTAATGAGCAAATCGTTTCGCTCTAAGCCAAACCGTTTGAATGTCACAAACTGCCCAAAATGTGAAAATGGTCACTTTTCAAACGTCATTAACTAAAACACAATTATTTAATAGTATAGGATATGATACCGAAATTTTACTAACCATTCCTATGGTTAACGATTTTTGTATGGTTGTGTACGTGACCACTACATGGACCTGTTTGTATTTACTTGTACTGCACTCTCACGAATTTCACTATAGACCCAGTGCCAATAATATATATTATTGGCACCGTTGAAATTATATTGAAAGAAAACCGAAACCAGCTTAATGTATTTAAAAATCAAACGACTAAAATGTCCACTTACTGTGAGCTGAGCACCAAGCATTGGATTTTGCTGAACAGTCATCCTGGACTGTGCTTGTTGCCAGTTGGCATTCTGTGTATTTGCTTGTGGGTAAGCCTGTCGTGGTGACAATTGCGAATTGAATTGTGACTGTGGAGACATGGCTGCAGAATTCTGGTAATTACCCACAGAGGTAGTTTGTGGAAACGCTGGCGAAGCCATTTGTTGAGAGTGGGGTGAATACGGTTGTTGGTTAGCGACTCTCGATGTCTGTCCATATGGAGGAGACAGTTGGGATTCTGAAGGTACGCTGGATGAGCGTTGCAAAGATACATTGGGAGCCACAGAATTATTCAACAAACTGTCAATGCTCTGAATTGAGTTAATCTGTAAATAAATTATTAAATGGTTTATATTAAATTCTTGATAAACAAAAAAATGTATCAATATCAATAGTGCTGTAGCAAATATTTTTCCAACAGAATTAAACTTACATTATTAGAGATCTCATTGGCAGCAGCATTGGACGGTATTAACAGATGTTGTTGCTTTTGTTGCAACAACAAACGGCGCTTCTGTTCTTGTTGTTGGTGAAGCAAAAGTTGTTTTCTCTGTAAAAGATTCTGGGCACTAATAGTTCCAGAAAATTGCTGGTTGCCTACATTAGCGCCACGAATCGGCATTCTTGTAAATTTCGCTTGAGAATAATTTGGAGGAGGCGGAAACACAGCATTATTTTGGTTTGACAACTACAAAAAAAAATAAAACACATTAGAGATATCTAAAACGTACAATACAGATAATACATAATGTGGTAAATATTTGTTGTGTGGCTTACATTAGCAGATGAATAAGCAGGAGGATTTCCTGATAAGGAAATAAGTGAACCTGGACTTTTGACAACAGTCTCACATTGCATCAATGATTTCTGTATGTTGTTAATGGCCACTGCTTCGCTCATTGCGAAGTTGTTACTTTGTTGACCATCCCCACCATCAAGAAGTTGCATAATTTCATCCGGCACAAATTCTATGACCTAAAAATAAATAAAAACCTTATTATACTGCGAAAAAAAAAATCGAAAAATTTAATAATATTACACAGATGTACAAACCTGATCAAGAAGTTCAGAAAGCAAAGGATCGTTGGAAGGTTGCATATTGGTATCCCAGATGGAGTTGTCGGTGGTAGAAGTAGCAGGTGAAGCAAAACAGCTTGAATTAACCTGATTCATCTGGCGGTTATCATTGCGTTGTACATTATTATTACTGGACAGAACGTTACTGAGGTAGTTTGTGGTTTGTTGACGTCCAGGCAACCTGAGAAAAAAAATGTTTTAATAACAAAAAAAAATAATTAAATAACCTTGTGTATACTACATTGTGTATACTACATTGTGTATACTACATATATTTATGTAGTAAATATAATATTATAAATTAAATTATTCCATATAATTTTATATAAATAACTACATAATATATTATGAAAAAAACATGGTTCAAACAAATCCAAGTTGTCTATTAAATTAATTAAAAAAACATGAAAAATGGAAATTAAAAGAGACGTTTCTGCTATATTTGATATTTTCAATATTCAAAATATATATGGGTCTTATTATTGAATCAATTTTTATCTTTTTTATATGAATATTCTCCAATACACAGTTTTTGTTGTAGTTATGTTCTTTGTCCAAAATCTGTACATTTTCAAAATCAAAATAATGGTTATTTTCTAAAGAATGCTTATCTAAAGCTGCAGTGTTTAATTTTTTTATTTGTAAACTCTGTTTATGTGCAACAACCCTTCTATGTAGATATTGTTGTGTTTGCCCAATATTGTTGAATTGCAGTTTTTACGATTTACTTTAAACACATCCGACCGATGGTCGTTAATAACATTGGATAAATATTTTCCAGATGTTTTTGACGCTTTATATCCAACATTGATGTCATATTTTGCCAATATTTCGACATATAGTAATTGTTTAAGTTGGTGACATTACTATTATTATTGCTAGGTATAGTTTGGGTTTGTTTTGGATTTGATAACTAATTACGTTGCCAATAAACTGTATAAAAATCAAGTTTGCTAAAATAAAATAAGTGTAAATAACCACATACCAATCTTTCTTAAAAACTAGTTTATTTGCATTGTCTTTATATGAGTTAAGTAAAAAAATCACATTTTCTACATAAGCTTTTTTTAATGTGAATTTAAACCATTTTATGATTTTACAAAGCTATGATGCAAATGTGTCAATGAAAATTTCTGGAAGTTTTTAAATTTAAAATGAAAATCTATATAAATACCAGTGTGCTGTATTAGTCACGTTGCTAAAATGATACTAATATACATTTTGTTATACAAGGTATTTACATTAAATCATTAGAATTTAAACGATTTTTAATAGGTTTTCATAACCAAAGATATAAATTGCCAAAATTAATTACCAACAATTTAATACATAAGTATACAAGTTTCAAATAGGCAAACTTTTATTTTGTAGGTTTTATAAAATTAAAAAAACAGTAACTATTGTGCTTTTGTCTAGTATTTATGTTAATTGCTTCATTGGAACTAGGAAAACATACTTCAAATTCTGATTTACATTTAGACATTTCAGTAGCGAAATATAGGTAACTAAGGATTCTATATTGGTAATAAGTGGTTCTTGAATTACGCTGTTTTAAAGGGCTTGAATAAATCAATGAATAATGTATGGCGAATGAACTAACTATATGTTGAATTCATTGAGATCTGTCAATAAACAAGATATTTTAGTAATTAAACCAAAATAAACAATTACATGTTTTGTCGACTATATTAAAGCATTCAATGAAGTCCTGAACAATTAATGAATGTCCTGAAATCAAAGAAAATTGACTACAACGACCCTCAGGATCATATCAAATTTATACTATAAGCTGCCAGAAGAAATTGAAATGAAACGTGGAGTGAGAAAGGGATGCGTATTGTCGCCAATTCTTTTTATTGCCTACTCCGAAGATCCTGAAAAAAGCTTTTGAGGTTGAAACGGCTGGAATAAAGGTAAATTGAGTTCCCATTAACAACATTAGATATGCGGACGACATTGTGATCTTAGCCGAAAATATTGAAGATCTTCAGAGACTGGTGACCATAATAGCGGAGTATGGAAAAGACTATGGTCTAACAATGAATGTCCAGAAGGCGAAATTTATGAGAATATCGAAAACCAAAAGAAGTAACGAGAATCTTATAATAAACGGAACCAACGTCGAACAAGTGGACAAATATGCATATCCGGGAACAATGATAAACTCCAAAAATGATTACATTCAGGAGATCAAAATCAGAATAGAAAAGGCTAAAGCAAATTTCAACAAAATGAGAAGAGTGTTACGTACCAGGGATTTAAAATTGGAACTAGAGTTAGGTTGGCGAGGTGCTATGTTTTTTCGACTTTGTTTTATGGAATGGAATCTTGGACCTTGAATGCGACATCAATGAAAAAACTGGAATCATTCGAGCCTGAAACTATCGTGGACAGAACACGTCACAAACAAAGAGGTTCTGAGAAGGATGAATAAAGAAATAGAAATTTTAAATAGAATTAAAACAAGGAAATTGGAATATTTCGGACATATAACACGTTGAGAGAAATATACCTTGCTAAAACTGATTATGCGGGGAAAAATCCAAGGAAAGAGAAGCATAGGGAGACATAGCCGTCTCAAAAGTCCGAATAGCTAAGATGATTGCCGACCTTCGACTTGAAGAAGAGAAGAAACAATTAGAAATAATAAACATGAATAGAAAATTATACCCTATAGGCTTTAAATAGAAAATTGAGAAAACTACACTTTATTTGGTATTGAAAGAGCATTATAAACTTCAATTATGTGTAAGTTCAATAATGTTTAAATCACAGAGGTAGATAGGAAGTCGAAGTACCAGAATATTCCATGTATTTGACATTTATTCCATAGCGTTATTTACAAACCAATTTGTTTATATTCACAGTTGCCAATTTTTTTCTCTGAAAACCACTGAATTATTTGTTATTTTTTTAAGCAGTTGTAAGCAACTTTTCAGATATTTTGGGATGATACAGAGCATGGACCAAAACAATTACTGGGTCAGTTGTAATTAGCGCCATGATTTGCTTAAAGTATTCTTCAAAAGCATGGACCAAAACAATTACTGGGTCAGTTGTAATTAGCGCCATGATTTGCTTAAAGTATTCTTCAAAAGCATCAGCATTCATCTATTCGTGGAAATCACTATGTTGAAATGTTACTAAAACATCATTTAAAAATCCAACTCCACTATATATAGGTATAGTCATTTTTCATTAGGTAGTCATTTTTCTGTATTATATTGTGCAAATGGGACTCAAACTCTCAATGACCCTATCATAGTCCTACAGTCCAAGATTTAACAAATTAAGGCAGCTTTCCATACTTTTGCTATGAGGAAGTTCGATTTAGTCTTAATACAAATGCCCCGGGTGTACCATAGCTAAATAACTTGTTTGGATTTTGGAAATCTCTTACTTTTCCTACCTCATCTTATTTCAGGAATATCTTTGTTCGCTGTATCAAAAATTCAAAGTCAAAATGTCGTTATTAAAATGGCAAGTTATCATTTAGCTCTGCAGATATACATATACTAGTCAGACAAAATCAATATAATCTGTATGCCTAACAATTATCACCTGAGAATCATTGCAAAATAATAGAGATTTTTTTAAAATATGAAATACATCTTATGGAATAAAATTTAATGATATGAGAAGTGAAGATATTTTGTATGAAATCATAACAGATCTTCTTTAATATGAGATAGCAACCGCATAAAAGAATATTGACACTTATAATAGAAAGTTGCCTAACACAAAACTAGACTCAAAAGTACTGGAATACTTATCAAAATCAAACTTTAATAATTATATTAGGAAAAAATGTCTGCATTGTCTTAATTCACTAACATTTATGTAATTTAACATCTTAAAAGTCTTACCTGTTAACGCCCAATCTAGAATTGTTCATTGTGTTTTGGCCCATAACCATTTGTATAGATTTGTTGGGGTCAGAGATCCTCGGCAGTTTTTCTTGAGGAGTGGCAGAGATCACGCTGGCAGGAATTGGTGGTATTGGCTGGTGGTTTGAAAAGTTTTTGTCTAAGAGAGAAGCCAACATTTTATTTTTCTCTCGCAAGGAAGTACCCGTTGATGTTCCTGAAGAAGATACCTGTAATGATCGAAAACATGTTAATATGTTTTGAATATACTGAGAAATTAAGTAATTTAAGAGACGTTGTATACTAAAAAAACATAGTAATTGCATCTTAATTATTTAAGAATGTTTAAAAGTAATCAACGAGCAAAGTCAAAAAATTATAAAGAATAAAGTGGATTTCAATAAATTTTGACCTCAAAGTGCCACTCAAAGAATGGCAGAAAAAATCAGGATTTTAGTTTTATAAAATGTGAATTTGTAAAAGGAGTTCAGAGTAACAAAATGCGATAATATGGGGATAACATGAAAAAAATATATTGACAAAATACAACAAAAAATAAACGAGAAGATTAGTAAAGATGTAAAAACATTTAATATGTAAAGGGAGGATCTGATAAAAAATAACTATAAAAATTTATTAAAATAAATACTGTAAAAATCACGGAAAAATATATGAAAAGTAATTCGTTACCTAATAGAACGGTCCTAAATATTTTATTTGCCATAAAACGAAAAAATATAGAGGAATAACCATTTATAGTTAGAATTAGTAAAAGTATTTGTATCTCACCTCTAAATTAGAACGACTCTTAACGATTTGGTATAAATACCAGCAAAAAACAACTTAACAAATAATTAAAATTCACTCAACAAAAACATCACAGTGTAACACTGATATATTAATTTGATATTGCGCAAACGTGTTCGTACAGTAACTGAAAAATACTAATCAAACCCAAACCTTGACACCTGACAACTAAGTTTCGACGCATGCGCATGATAGTTGGGAATTTCTGTTTTAACAATGCCAAAGAACGTCAGTGAACGTTGCCATATTGCATGAAAAACCAAAGAAACAACAAATAAAATTGATGAAGGCTGATGAGTGCTGTCTTGTAATGATAAAACACAGTTAAACGGATAAAAACCACAATTAATGAAATGGAGAAATATCCTACCGAGGACAATATCATCCTCCGAAAGCATCCAGCTTCTATCTGTTTCTTTAAATTTGACAAACATGTGTTTTAATTTTTTTTTCCACTGGCCAAGACATTCATCGTTACAAAATAATTTTTTAAGTACAAACGCAGGGGAATATCAAAGCAATAAATTGTCAAAAACCTCAGTTCAAACGTTGTGTAATGTATAAGGAAACAAAAAAAAAAGAAAAAAAGAAAAAAAACAATATTGCTTTTTTACTCTCTCTTTTAGTAAACTGATGATGGAATGATTTAATTCGGAAAAGATTTTCTTTAAAATAAAAGTTTTAAGCTTTTAATAAGCATTTTTTAAACCTTGACACACACGAAAACCACGTGCTTTATAAGGAAAAAGATGTGACATCATTTTCGTTAATTTTTTAACTCTTTTCACTTTATAAGTCAACAAAAAAGAAAATATTTAGACATATAAATTTGAACATTGTACATCCTTTTTAGTAACACCCTTAGTAGTTCGTAAGGATGGGTTGCAAATAAAGGATATTTTATATAGCACTTTGGTTTGGCATTGATATAAATATATCTTACTCCAACCAAGTGCACTAATCATTAGCGGATGAGTATAACAGAGAGAAATGTTCGAAAATCTGCTCAAAATTATGCTTTATCGCTATAAAAAGAATCTAATGCATTAACTACCTAACCATTTAAAAAACTTCAATCATTCTAACGATTTAAAATACAAGAATTTGTACAATTCGAAGTTAATCAAAAAGTTTTACATACAAGTCTATTTAAATTATAATAATTTTAAAACTACTGCAAAATACTACTTCACGATAGACATATAAAGTAAACAGTTTCGAAAGCATGTCAGTATATAGGTGCCACTATAACTCACGACAACGACATGAACAGCAAAATTCGGACATTAATACGTCAACTATGCTGTCGAGATCATCGAAGATCCAAATATACGAAGTAAAGATTACAAATATCTCTTACTTGACATTGAAAAAACCACTTACAAATTGCAGAATCAAAAACAAAGAAATACTACCTCTACTAAGAATGTTCAGTTTTCATTACATTTTTTCTAACCTTTCTCTCCAGGTACGTATATATTCCAATGTCTATCTTGTAGGTTTCTTTTTCCTTTCATTTCCTCGTAGGCTCCATCTCCAAACGATATATCTATCTTCTTCCTATATGTCTCCGTTCGGTAATTTCTTGACTCAAGCTACTGAGGTCGCTGATAAAACAGTTACTATTCTGTTTATTTTTCGCTTCTTATTCTTGTAAACCAACTTTTCGAAATTTTTTGTGTTTAGATATTTTATAGGGCGTTCTTTATTTTCTTATGTACATTTCAGTGTCTTCTCACTTAGTCTTTTCACTTACATATTGTATGAGTGTATCGGTTGTCGCCTGCCCCAAAAGCTTCTAGAACATTCCTCATGCAAGTTTTTTTTTGATGACACCTGAATCTTTCCAGCTTCAAACAAATACTAAATACACAATGCAGCCACCCAGTTACGACGTAAATAAATAAATAAATAATAGGATGAATACAGGAGGAGGCACTCGTATTATAAATATATCTTGGACAATAATCTAAGAATTATAAATAATACAGATAAATCTAAAAGATTGTTAATAACCAGTAAGGAAAACTTAGTTAAAAAAATTATTTATACCTGAGAACCGTCTGAAGTCCGTTTGGCGGGAATACTATCTTTATCGTCGATGGAACGTTTTCTAGTTCTATCAGTAGGAGATGAAGGAAATCCCAAGCTTCTCATCAATGTATCATCATTGCACTGCACTTCTTTCTTCTTATCGTCGTCGGCATCTCTTTCTGGTTTCAACAGTTGTTGAAGCAATTCGCTTTTATTTTTCATGCCAGCTCTTTCTAGATCGTCATCGTCGTTTTTATCGTTGAGTAACTGAAAAAATAAACAAACAAGTCATACAGATGCACTACAATGGTAAGATAAAAACAATAATAGTTTATTAAATAAGCTCTGTAAATTATTTAATACCCTATTAAAAATATACTATTTGACGGTGATTATATTATTATAACGAAGGTTTTGGTATATTTGTTTGTATATTTATTTATCCATTCAGTAAGAGAAAACGTGACGAAAAATTACATTGTTTATCCGCATACCCTTTTATTCTACTGTTTAATGTTATCACTAGGTATTACTGTCTATCGTCTAGGAATATATTCCTAGGTGTCGTTTACTGAATAGATGTATAAATATATTGGAAGGTTCTCTGTGTAATCCTTATTTTAAGGCTTAACGTTGGGAATGTCTTTATTAGATAAATAGTTCTTCTAATAGAAGTAATTAAATTAATTAAGTATCTAAATAAGATATACCCATAATATCACATTATACAACTGGGTAGAAGCCCAGTCGCTCTGATGAATCCTGCTAGGACGAAATACGCATAAGCGAATTGTAGAAGCACTATACGTGAAATCAAATCTTAGCTGTCTTTTCTACATCTTTATTCATATTTTGAGTATAAGAAACCAGTTCACGAAAGGTTCTTGCCTAGATGAACCGATATGTCGTGAAATGCAATTTTAGATTCCCCATGTCGTTCCATTGATTGTCTGCTTGCTGTGAAAATTGTATAAGGAACCAGATTTAGGCAAAAAATTCTATTTTATAAAAAAAATATATATTGCGCGGGTAACTGACAGTCAATATTGCCGGTCGCTTCAAACGCTACTTCTGGAGAATTGGTTTCTGGAATGAAGTTTTGGAAATCGTTCACCCACAAAGATGCAATTTGTACAGTGGCAAAGGCATGGAGTAAAGTGAAAGAGAAAACTTTCAAAAGCACTTTTTACAAATTAATTATGCTAGAGGAAGATGAAAGCATCAGTGAATATGATGATAAAGAATCTATCACAGCTGAACTAACTGCATTAGTGAGCAACGCCGCGCTTACGATTTTGAAGAAAATGAAAAAACGAGGTTAAGATGTGTACACAGTGTGACAAAGATGAGCCGGGTTATCAGCTACTCAGTAACGACGATATTTTTGAATCAGCCCGGCAACATGATGGATGGTATAATAAAAAAATTAACTAACCAGGAGGCTGACAACTTGCGCAGAATAAGTCAAAACATTAAAAAAAATCAAGGACATTAACAAAGGGAAAAGTTATTGACTTTTTTGAAAACCAGCTACCTAAAATATATAACCATTTTATATAAATGTAAGTTAATCTACATTCCTATGTAGTTTTTATTTTTCTTATTCAGTGTCAAAGCTTATGTAGAAATCTTTTTTGTTTTCTATGTATCTTTCTATGAAATTTAAATGTTTTTAAACTTATTGAGATTTATTTTTTGTTATGTTTTTATCGTAGGTACAGCTGCGCTTACTGAATAGTTTACACGTTATTTTCACATTGTAATACCGTAAAATGACAGTGCCATCCGGAGTTGCTAAATGTCCAAAATGCCTAGAATGCATTTGAATGACACAAAAACAAGAGAATTGTGAATCTCGAAAAATGTTGGTCGCTAAGGCAAGTTGCAGCAGATTTGAACGTGAGCCATATGTGCATATGGAAAGTTAAACAAATATATGTTCATCTCTATAGCACGATTGGACGGTTTAAGGGGACAGAAGATCTCCACAGAGCAACAAGATGAGCTGTTAAGTAGATTATCTGAGAGAAGCTCCTTTTGCGACAGCTTGAAAAGAGCTTTAAGGCAGCGTTTCCAGACAGCTTTTGCACCGCACGTTAAAGGATTAAAGCAAGTAAAATTGTGCAACTGCAAGGAAACTATTTTTGAATGAGGATCACAAGAGAAATCGAGTTGCATTTTGTAATGAAGTTTTAAACCGTGAATACATTGAACATGAACCTTTGGTCTAACGTTGCATTTTCCGATGAAAAAGTGTTTCAATAATATAGCAATGATCGACTAAGAGTTTATAGGCCGAGAGATGTTTTGGTAAACGGTATAATTATCATTTGGTAGTAAAAGGAAATGTAGAAGGCCGAAGACCAAGAGGAAGATCTCTAACATGATGGGAAGACCAAATGAAGAATCTGGTGGAAAAATCCCTACATGAAGCCGTCCATTTGGCACAGGATCGCAGCCAATGGAGACAGCAAGTTAACAATTTTTGGTGTCACCATGCCCTGACAGGGGCTCAAGAATGAGGAAGAGTAGTAGAGGAGGATTCTCGGTTAACGTAAGGGATGGATAAGTGTTAAGGCTCGGGCGTTTATTCTCAACATATTTTTGAATTCTTGAAACCATAATGTTACCATCGGTGATCCAGAGATTCTCCAATAATCTTTGAACATGATAATTGTCCGGGGCATACGAGACGAATTCTTCGAGAAAGGTTGTAAGAAACTCATGTTAATTTTCTTCCGAGGCCTTTCCGGAGTCCAGACCTTAACCCCATCGAAAATGTGAGGGCAGAGTTGACCGAAATTAAATGAAAGAAATCTTAGACAACGGAATATAATTGAACTATGTACATTATTGTATTGAATTATTAATATTTGATATAACCTTACTTCGATTTATATGATCGATTGATATTTACAATTTAATGCGTCTGTTGGTTTCTTCTGATGTGTTATGACTTATACTTTATGATGTGTGTTTTGAGTTATATTACGCTTGAAAGTTAATGAGAGCACCGTTTTTATGACGCAGCTGATAATCCTCAACAGAATGTTATTTGTTGAACAAAACCATGACAGGAAGGTATCGAAATTATGATAGTTCTGCTTTGGATAGTCCTGTATAAAGATCGTTGTAATCTTCTGCCATCTGCCAACTATTTTCTTACCAATTTCACACGGAGAGACGAACAGTATACTACTCGAAAATTTAAGGAATAACTCTTAGCATTTATTAAGTAAGAACAGTTTATAAATGTGTATATGTAAAGTGCATAATTGGCTGATTCATTTAATTAGTGGGAGACTCAGTAATGGCACCCACCAATTATCGAAAGTCCACTGTATATTCCCAGAGCTGTAATTTTAAACTAACGATATCCGTTCTTATACATATTGGAAAATCAGAATTTAAAATATTAAACTTAAAATATAAAACACCTTCAGTGAATACAAAAAAAAGATCATGACAATTTTTTTAGATTTATTGTTCCACTGTGTATATTCATTGTTTCCGAAATATTTCCGTGTACAAAATAAATACCTGTAGGGGATAATATACGACCACAGCTGTGCACATCTTGTAAATAAAAAATTAAATCATTGTGATATGTAACTAACCATACACACGAATTTATTATTTCATTTACGTTGTGCGCGCTTGTTATCAAATCGACGTCATTTGTTTTATGTACTTAATATCACATTTAGAAGAAACATTAGAAAATTAACCACTTTTAAAATTTTGAAAGTTATGACAACGGAAATTTCTGAAAATTATCTCTTAAGATTAAATAAACATTGGAAGATTGAACAATATCGATTATATAATGGTAATTATTATTTTCGATATTATTATTAGATTACTTAATGTTTAAGAAACAGTTGAAATTTCCAGTTTTTTGTACTACAAAAGTAAATTTTAACCACAGTAATTATTGAATGACGAAAAAGCCAAATTAAAAACTATTAATCATGGCATCACCAAAAATGTATAAAAATTAAATATGTGGGCAGATCTTGACCAACAACAAAAATACCTCAAAACATTCTTAAAATAATAAAAAATAGTTTCTACTCACCAGTCCCTAACCAAAACATTTTCATATGCAAAAACACAAAAAACCACAATACAAAACCATTAGAATTCTTTACGTCTTCAAACCTTATCTTTTTGAAGAAGTACTGACAACTGGTAAAAGTAATGCAAATAAAAGTAAATCTGATAAAATTTGTATTTGAGTAGGTAGTAGAGAGGGAACTGTATTGCGACGTTGCCACGTCATAATCACTAGTATTATCAGCTATTTGAAAATTTTGCGAGCATGCACCACAAATCTTATCAAGTTCGGAAGGTGTAGATAATGAATACAAAAACTGAAACAACACTCGGACTACGAACAAATTATAGATGTGTAGTTGATACATAGTTCGTAGACATTTAGGTATGTTTCCTGTCGATAAAATAATTGTGAATTAGTACATGTTTTAAACTGCGAAGTGTTGTTACCGATAAGAAAAAAACTAGATTTAACGTGTATATGTACGAAGTATAAAGACCTTCGTAACTTTATTATCTGCAATTCGAAAGATTCACAAGAATAAACTGCTTATATAGTCATCAAGACCAAGTAAAAAATGTCTAAAATTGAAAAGGAAGAAATTTTTCCGAAATATATCAGCAATAGACGCCTGTTGAGGATTTTTTGGATAGACAGAGTTACCAACGAAGAAGTACTACATAGAATGGGTAAAGAGCGCGAACTAGTCGTAACCATAAAACCTCGCAAACTGGAATACCTGGGCCATATAATGCGCAATGAACAACGATATGATCTACTTCGGACCATACTTCAAGGTAAAGTGCATGGGAAAAGAGGGAAAAATCTACGAAAATAGTTTAACTTAACCACTATGGACTTTTCAGGGCAGCAGCCAACAAAGTCAGAATAGCCATGTTAGTGTCCAACATCCGTAACGGATAAGCACCATAAGAAGATATCAGCAATTCACACAGGCGTAAAATCTGCCAATAATCTCAATTTTACCGACTTTGTTTACTAACACTTGGTACACAAGTACAAATTTGGGACTGCTGAATGCAGTAATCTAATAAACATAAAATTTTATAATATTGAGTGGGACATAATTTTTGAAAAAACTTTTACCTTGAAATACCCACTACCGTTTAATATCTGATCTAGCCACCACTACCACAACAAAACTATTATGTGTGCAATTGTGTGTGGGAAAGAGACAGAAATCATAGCA